TGCTACAAAGCCTTTGAAAACAAACTACTTCTTCCCTTTATTTGCTACCAAATTTAAGCAACCAACTTCTACAGTGCATTCATGTAAGCAAGATACTTGATTCAAACGATGGAGGGGTGTTCCACTTATTGCTGAAAGGGCCTCAAAAGACAAGATGCTGATTCCTTACCTGAGAAATCATGCTCCCTGAAGGGGAGGGAGGGGAAGGGAGGCTGTGAACGTTCATTAAAGGCAGCAATGTAGCTTTCACTCCAGTAACCACTCAACTCTGATATGTGTTTTAGCCTTTACGAACCATGTATATTGTATTGAGATCCATGATACAAGGTATGATACAAGTTCACTAAATATATTCTTTAAAAAATATGTACTTGGCAGAGTTTCATCATTCTGTGAATATTGCACATTTCCATATTTATCGAGCGAGAGAGAGAGAGAGAGAGAGAGATTCTGAAAAACACAGTATTTGTATTGAGAAAAAAAACAGAATCCAGTACTTGTACTGAAACACCAGAACCTTGATTTTGGAATCTGGATATTGTGGAGGGCATGCTTCATGCAGGCTTATAAAGCATCCTGGAAAAAAAGGCAACACTTCTAAAACTGTAGTTCTTGTCCTTCCAGATTCAACAAGATGAATTTATTAGGCTGAAATAAAACATCTGAATCATATCTTAATTGATTGCAACATAGTATAGTATTAGGGTCCCCATTGGCAGTGGTCCCCAACCTTGGGCCTCCAGATGTTCTTGGACTACAACTCCCAGAAACCTTCACCACCTGGCCAGGATTTCTGGGAATAAATGTAGTTCTTGTCCTTCCAGATTCAACAAGATGAATTTATTAGGCTGAAATAAAACATCTGAATCATATCTTAATTGATTGCAACATAGTATAGTATTAGGGTCCCCATTGGCAGTGGTCCCCAACCTTGGGCCTCCAGATGTTCTTGGACTACAACTCCCAGAAACCTTCACCACCTGGCCAGGATTTCTGGGAATAAATCCTGCTGGCCAGGATTTCTGGGAATTGAAGTCCAAGAACATCTGGAGGCCCAAGGTTGAGGACCATTGGTGTAGAGGATAGAGTGACAGACTAGGACTCTGGAGAACAGGGTTTAAATCCCTGCTCAGCCATGGAAATTTACCAGCGCAACTGGTAAAACCATTCCTTAAATATCCCTGGCTTGATCACACATGCCAAAATAATTGTTTTACTTTTACTGCTTTTTGGAATTGATGCATTTTAAAATGCAGTCATGTTTCCCAACATCATGACCCTGATGTTGGGAAAGTGTGAGGGCAAGAGGAGAAGGGGACGACAGAGGATGAGATGGTTGGACAGTGTCATTGAAGCTACCAACATGAATTTGACCCAGCTCTGGGAGGCAGTGGAAGACAGGAGGGCCTGGTATGCTCTGGTCCATGAGATCACGAAGAGTCCGACAGCACTAAACGACTAAACAACAACAACAAAAAATGCAGTCATGTGTATCTATAAGTGGGTACATTCACATTGTTGTGAAAAGAATTGTTTCATTTCAGGCTATTTGAACTGTTTTAGCAGACTACACTGGACAAGTATTTTGAATCAGTTCTTTTATCTTGAAGATTCTGGGGCAATACTGAGGGCCCTTGTTTAATTTTTTAAAAATACTTCATTGATAAATTGATAAATGCTGACACCTCTTTCTCCCAGCTCCCAAAACAATCCCAAGCAGGAAATGGCCGTTCTCTGCTCAAGCCCTCTTTCCCCACCAACAAGGGAGTGGGGGAAGGCTGTCTACTTCTGAGCAGTGTATTCCTGTTTTGTGAATGTGGCTGCTGCTGCTATAACATGTGATTTACCAATATGTCTTTTAAAAAAGTTTTTAAAAGGGTAACACCAACAAGGGAGTGGGGGAAGGCTGTCTACTTCTGAGCAGTGTATTCCTGTTTTGTGAATGTGGCTGCTGCTGCTACATCATGTGATTTACCAATACAGGTATGTCTTTTAAAAAAGTTTTTAAAATGGTAAAAGCACAGTGGCCATGAAGTGGCCACAGCACCCAAAAACCCAACTCCTTTGCAAAGTAAATAAATTGACAGCAATGTGCAGAATCAAAATGAATTGCAATGGTACAAGATGGGTACATTTTAAAACAACCCCATCAGTGAAAAGGAAATAAACTGATTGCCATGGCAGATGGATCAATGTTAGCTGTGTGTTGTGTGAACAAATTTTTTTTGAAATCATCTAAATAACAGCAAAATCTGTAAAACTGAGATTATTTTAAGACATTGAGGATAGATTACCTTGAAAACACTGTTAGAGTTGCTATACATTGGTTCTGACTTGATAGCACATTAACAATAACACAGTATAGCTTCAAGTTAGGCAATCTTAAACCTCTACTTTTTTGAGATGTATATAACCTTTATGACTTTTGAACTGCAGAGCTGGAAGGGACCCTCATCAAGTCCAGCCCATCTAAAAGAGGCGCAATGAGGAACTGAACTCCCAACCTCTGACTCTGCAGCCAGAGACCTTATCTCTGTTACAAAATTTATTAATCATATTTTGTCAGTCCTTTAACTTTTCTTCCTTAATTTTTTTTGGTAGCATCATAATTTTTTTTTAAAAAATCTTTATTTATTGATTTATTGATTTATTGATTGATTGATTGATTGATTGATTGATTGATTTATTTATTTATTTATTTATTTATTTATTTATTTATTATCGCGCCTATCTGGTCTTACGACCATTCTAGGCGGCTTTCAGACACATAAAAACAACATATGAATATAACAAAAAGAAAAGTATCTTTGTTTTATATGCTACAATTCTGCCAGACCATCACAATCCAATTTTCCTTAAGTCAGCTAACTTCTTTGTAATTAAACTGAAATCCTCTTTTTTCAAAATTGTTTGGGATATTTTTGTATACCTAAATACTTAGTAGTCTTTCAAATGCTGATACTCATTTTTTTTCTTCCCCCCCTTTATTATAATAAAAACCAACATTTCTGATTTATGCCAATTTATCTGCAATCCTAAGAGACGTGGTGGCGCTGCGGGCTAAACCGCAGAAGCCTGTGCTGCAGGGTCAGAAGACCAAGCAGTCGTAAGATCGAATCCACGCGACGGAGTGAGCTCCCGTCGCTTGTCCCAGCTCCCGCCAACCTAGTGGTTCGACAGCATGCAAATGCGAGTAGATTAATAGGGACCACTTCGGTGGGAAGGTAACAGCGTTCCGTGTCTAAGTCGCACTGGCCATGTGACCACGGAAAGATTGTCTTCGGACAAACGCTGGCTCTATGGCTTGGAAATGGGGATGAGCACCGCCCCCTAGAGTCGAACACGACTGGACAAAAAAATGGTCAAGGGGAACCTTTACCTTTTTATCTGCAATCCTAGCTACCTCTCCAAATTCTTTTAAATGTAATTTAACTTTCTCTACAACTTTTAATGGATTTTCTATTATTAACAAAATATCATCAGCAGATAAATGAATCTTAAGTCTGTCCCTAGTACCTAAATCACAACATCTTTTCAACTGCTAGGTTCTCCTTGTTTTTTGTTTGCTTGCTTGCTTGTTTGCCCTCGCATTACTTTGCAGAGTGCAGAGTGGCATAGATGCTGAGCACTCTTCTAATATATTTCCCACACAACAGGATGTGTTATGTTGCCTGTGTAGGCTCAGTCACCCAGTGAGCTCCATGGCTGGGACTGGAATCAGATCTGGTCAAGATCTGACTCTTCAGCCTCCCTCTCTGTTTTCTATTCTCCCATTTCTCACTCATGGTGTTTCCATGTGCTGCATGAATATTGCCTTCTCTACCCACAGCTCCTCCTCTTCCCCTCTCAGGTGGTCTTCTGCCTGATCAACATCTCACGTTGCCTGTGTCCCCACCTCCCCTTCCAAAGCCTTGCTGGACGTTTTTTTTCCAGATAGATCAAAGTTTTGGCATGGTGTTTTACGACTGAGAGAGAAGTGGGTGTCAACCTGGCTCTGTTGGGTGTTCGAGGATGGTAAGAGTCCTGAAACACTAAACGGGAAGGTTGAGTGAGTGGAAGGAAAGATAATCTGTCAATGACTTCATCTCCAAGATACGTCACTCAGCTGTGCTGGCTTAGTGTTGGCCACTCCCATCTAGAAGTCACTCACCTCTTTCCCATCCATTGCCAAATGCCTTTCTGAATTGCACCCTTCCTTGCTCAGAGAACCTTTTAGTACCAGGATACCTGACTAAGTTCATCCTCCAACCCCAATAAGAACAAGTAGTTTAAAATAATTTTGTACACAGATGTTCCTATAAATGTAGATATGGAATAATGCCTGAATATTAGGTATGTGTTGACTTCTTTCCAAATGTCAACAATCATTAAAATAGTTGACAATCAACATTCAAAAAGTGTTCCTCAGATAACAATACACCATTTTTGACTGTTTATGGAACTGTATTTGTTTCCTGTCAAAATGATCAAGTGATTCTGAGGTGTAAAACAACTGAAGTGCTAGTTAAAAATTTCTTAATTCCTCAGCGATCAGCAGGAAAATGCATGCACCCTGCAGATGCGCTACATTGAGATGATGAACATCAGAGGATAAAAACTTGTCCTGCCCAAAATCTTGTCGCTATTCAAGTGGAATCAAATTTATGGTCTTAAATTAAATAAACATTTTGGTATCCAATTTATAAATTATTGCATAATAGTACTGTATACATTTCAATGTTAGAAGATTCTTTCTGTTTGAACTTTCATGACAAAGGACTTGAATGACCTGTCGACAACTACTAATTCTTGCCAGGAAGGATTGAGGTAAAAGAGTATAAAAATACTGTAGCATCACTTGCGTGGTTTCCAGTAACATACACAACTCAGGGAAGCAAAGGGAGGGAGGAGGAGAGCAGAGGTGTCTAGTATCAGAATGCTCCACCAGTGACTCAGCAAGACCAATATAGCTCCAGACGCCAGCCCTTGGGAATTAGCCCAGAAGACTATATAAGTCACCCACAGCAGGGACAATAGATCAGACAGAACCAAGGCTTCAAGAACCCATCCTTAGCTCAAACAAGAACCCAGACGCAACAATGCGTGGCAAAAGCGTGATCCTGCGCAGCTCCGGAACACTGTCTGCAGCTGAACTGACCTGCCAGGTGTCTGAGAAGAATACTGCACAGAGGGAATCATTCAGTGCTGAATGGAAAGACCTGTCACTTACCACTAGGCCAGAAGAGGGGTGAGTGTTGGATTTGGGTCAGGCAAAAGTTGGGATAAATTTGGTCAAAGAATAATCTAATGGGATTGATTTTTGTTGTTGTTCTTGTTTTGGAAGTTAATAGTTGGGCCAAAGCATCTGCTTGGAACTTCTGAGCAAAGATGGATAAAGTCTATCAAATCTAAGATGTTAAACATGGCCAAATCGTATGTGGTCTAGACATACAGGATACAGGCAACTCTATGAAAGAAGTGGGAAACAGATTTGCTCTCAAGGAGTTAATACAAGGGATTTTATCTGGGGTGATGTTTTCTCTTCTCCATACCTCAAACAGTCTTTCCCAACCCACTGCCCTCCAGATGAGTTAGACTATGATTCCACTCACTTCTAAACAGCATGGCCACAACATATCTGGAGAGCACTACCTTGAAGATGATTGGCCCAAAGCTACTTGATGTGGGTTTTGGCTGCAGGGCGGTAGATGGTTTATGGATCAATATTAATTTATATCGGGCACCATTGGTGTACATGATGCTATACAAAGCAGAAAAGAGGAGGGAAACCCTTTCCTGAGGAGCCTAAATTTCAGCAAAGTGTAGGAAAAGGAGGGGGAAGAGAAAAAAGGGGAAATACACATCAGTTCATTCAGGCTTATAGATCAGAGACATTAATTCTGAACATCAATGATATAGCACTGGTGATGGTCAATGGAAGGAGATGAGTTGAAGGGAAGTGGCATGAAGTGTGTGCTCGTGGTTATCCAGTGTGAATTAATAACACAGTTGTGACTTTTAAAAAATGAAAATGATTTTTAAAAAGTGATTTCCCCATCTCCCATCTTCATTGCTGACACATGGTTAAAAATATCTTATTTGCTTTGAAGATTCGGATCCAGGCTGTATCTAGTCTAGCTTTCTGTCTCTATCAGAGGCCAAGGCAGATGCTTCTGAGGAACATTATGGGATGGCTGCCCCTTCTTGTTCTTTGCCCATTGCATTTGATACTGCCTTTGAAATGGAGAGCACCCTGCTGGGTCCTGCCAAAGCTCTCTTCAGTCCAGTACCTTCTGTCCCATAGTGTCCACCCAAGTACCTCTGGGAAGCCCATTGGAGGACAACATAGCATCCGGCCACTCATATTTCCAAGCAACTGATATACACTGAGGCATTTTGCATTTGATCCCAGTAGTACCATGCACTCATCACCAGTCGGGACTCACAGATTTACCCTTCAGTTTATCTAATCTCATCTTAAAGCCCTTTAAGTTATTGCTGGGGAACCTGTGATCTTCTAAATGTTGTTGAATTTTGGTTCCCATCTGACATACCCTGCCTTGCCAAAAGTGAGGTGTGATGAGAGTAGTAGATCATCTGGAGGCTATGCTTGAGTTGATGGACATTGTTGCATCTTGTGATAATGTATTCCGTAGTTTAAGTATGTGCTTCCTTTTGTCCTGTCTACCACATGCAGTTTGGAGAAAGATTTTCGGTGTTCCTCAAAATCCCTTTTTGTGTTTCTAGCTTGAATAAACTGGTGTTGACGGCAATAAACTTGGTCATTTCACTGATCATCCCTACTGGTTAGTACAGGAACTTCATTTTTAGCTATCACAGTTCATTGGAAGACCTAGGTCCATGATCTTGTTTAATCTCTTATAAATAGTGATTACCACCATTGCATAACAGGGAAAGTGGGAGTGAGACAGAAGAATGAGGTGAGATTGTGATACATAGGGCTGGAGGGGATAATATTTGGCACTTTAGATATTTTGAACTTCAAATACCAGAAGCCCCATCAAGAACAACCAAAAGGAAGAGTGGGAGTTTGAATCCAAATTATCTAGAGGGCCAAAATGTCTCCATTGATCCCCCAGTGTGCCTACTTGACAGTGGCGGGACTCAATATCTACAGGGTCCCTTCCAGCTCTGCCGTGCTAGGATTATTATTGTTATCCCTTCAGAACTTGGGGAAATTAGGTTTCTTGGACAGTAACTCTAAGAATCCCTGGCTCACAGAATCCTGTGAGTTGTACCTGCACCTCCAAAGTCTGTCCGTGGTGTATGGCTTTCAAGGTCAGGGAAGCAGCCTATTAGATTGGGATATCTTGCACAATTAATTTTTAATTAGGTATCTGTTTGCTTTCCCACAGCTGTTCTAGGTCTGAAGTAGACAAACGGCGCAAAGAAACCTACCACCAGCAACAGGAGGCCCAAGTTATTGTGCAACGGTCACCATGGGGCATTCTCCGCCTGGGCATGCTGGGTGAACCCTTCGTCTCCTACCATCTGCCCTATCAGCGGTCTTTGCCCTTGCCCATGTTCACCCCAGCTAAGCTAACCAAAGTGGAGCGGGAATTTACACCAACTCCCTCAGAGTCTGTAGAGTCACTGCCCGTTACGGGTGTGTGCCTTGATAAGACACCTTTGGCTGAGATCACCAAGGAATTGCCCCCTGTTGTCCAGCCCAGCTGCCCCGACTTCAGGAAAGCAGGCGTACCTCGCTCATTGTCCCGTTCCATGTCTCAGGAGGCTCAGAGAGGTTGAGGCCTAGGGGGACACTCGCACCAGCAATGTTCCTTCGCGGAACTGGTGGCTTGGATGCCTTGGGCCTTCGCATCTCTTGCTGCATGAGGACGGTCAAACGAGGCCCAGACTTGTAGAAAATACTTGGTAGGATTGAATCCATCATGATGAACTCCTCTGAGAAGAGGACAGGACTGTTCCTTCATCCGTGTGTGTTTATATGATTAGATGTATATGCAGATCTGTCAGCATTGCTTATATTTTTGCACAGTGTATTTTAAATGACCAGATTCTGGGGGCATAAGAAAAGTCTGTTGGATGAAATGAAGGAAAAGCCCCTGTGCCTTTAAAGTGTGAATACCCTGAGGTTAGGTAGAGTGACATAAATTTACAGATAAAAGAGTTAAAGTATGGAATGATGGGAGACAGGAACCCTGAGTTTAGCAAGAGAGAGTGAGAGACAGAACTATTTCTAAGATCTAGCATGGAAAGGGAAGTAAGTTCTAGTGTTTAGAAGCAAGTTAGAAAATGAGAAAGAAGCAGAGGATCTTCTTGGGTTTCATTACTATTCTTGACTCTGTTACAGTGAGGGACTAGGAAGAGGGAGAGAAGATTCTAAGACTAGGTTTTGCAATGGACTGTTAAGGTCCTATTCTGCTACCTCTCTCCCCAGCTCTATGACTTCAGTCATGCGACTTCTCATGATTAGATATCCCACTTAATGAATATGTATCATGTCAAATAAGGAACCTCTGCGTTTTGGGGAAATGATCATTTAGAGATGAATCAAAGGATTTATTGAAATGGAAAGGAAGAAACTTTAGGTTGGAAAGCACAGCACAAGAATGTTGATGTGGTTTTATATCCTTATTCCTTCTCCACCCCTGTAGACAAGTAGCTGAGAATGCTGGAGAATTCCATTGTGAATAAAAGTCAAATCCTTATATTCCTTGTCCTGTTTTTCTTTTAAAAGAAAAGATCCATTGTAATGAAATAATGTCTTTTTTGTTATTGTGCTCTCATGGGTTAATTAAAAAAAAAAGGAACTAACAGAATGTGCTTTCCCTTCATTTCTACAGCTGTACAATTTTAACAAAGTTATGCATCTCTTCTGTATCTGGTGTACATATTTAAGGGCTACCCTGAACCCCATCAGACATGAAGGGAAGAGGAAAGTCATATGAATGTCTTGTTTAAAAACGATGAACTGTTGTGTGGTGTGGTTTTTACTTAACACGGATATGATAACAGCTCTCCTCAAACTTTCTCTGAGTGGTGGCTACCATTCAGTTCCAGTGACACTGGATCAGTTCTTTTTAGCAAGACCTTGCGGCAGATGGTCCTAGAGGCAATATTTTTGTGCCATCTTCTTATTGTGCCTTGTCTCTGCGGTCCCTTTGCAGCTAGGTCCTACTGAAGGAGCCAACAAGCATCACTGGAATGTAATGTTACAACACAGAATCAGGTTGCAAAGCTTGGGCTTCTTTGAGTGGCATGCAGGGCTCTGCACATGATGGAGAGTTGTGTGGTGATCTTGCAATGCCTTATCCCCCCTCATGCAACCTTGTGCTGCCCTTGCCCAAATGGTCTGGCTATATGTTTCTATGAATATCCAATACAAACATAAGCTACAGTGATTCCTGATATGAAAGGTTACACAGGAGTGCTGTGAGGAGTGCATGCTATTGGCAGGGAGGCGAGCAGGGGGAAGATGCATTGGATGCATACTGAGATATTATATATTAACCCCCACGAACCCCAAGTCCATAAAGTAACCTCAGGTAGGTCCCTTTCTCTTGGACTGTGTAAAACTGGACATAGATGAAATAAGATTAATTAAAAAAAACAACAGAAAATACCACCAGGGAACTGTTGGGTCCATACTGATGTGCTTGAGATACCAGACCCCTGCTTAAGTAAGTACTAGAATCACCAGAAATGAAAAAAAAAGAAACCACAAAGAAGCTATATAGTAAAAACAACCACACTCTCCTTGTTTGATTGTTTGTTTATTGTATTTTTATCCTGCCCATTTAGTGACAGAGTACTGTACTACTGCAATAAAATAAATAACCCACTCACCACACATGGACCCTATTAAAACAACAACAAAAAGACTATGGAGGCAACAGCAAACAAAACTCACTTATGGACTAATTCTGATAGCAAAAATTATGTCATTGTGGGAAAATGAAGGCTGACTTTTGATTCACCTTGCATGTTTTTGTTGACATATACTACATAAGCTTCAAAGAAAGTACTGTACTGTTCTCTCCTGACCACTTAGAAGAAAGGAAATCCAATTAATAAGATACAGCCAGATGTGGGGTAACACCAGCTGAGGGGTGAAGTTTGAGACCTTTATATTGCCAAAGCAACACCATCAAAGTGGTATTAATATACTCTGGAGAGGCTGATGACTGGCAGAAGTGAGGCCACCATTGGAAAATAAATGAACAGGGCAGAAACCCCTTCAAAAGAACTCTACAAAGGGAAAGGCAGGGGGAACATGAAACAAAATGAATTGGACGTACTCAGATGTCATGGCATGTAGAGTGACTGTTGCACAGGCCAGAAGAGAGATGGAACGGAATATCATGAAATGGAGGGCAAAGCTGGCCAGCTGGTTGGCCCTCTGAATAGAAGCATTCTCTACTAAAACATACACCGGGGGAGGGGGGTCTGTTCGATGATCTGCTTGAAACTACAGAGATTTTGTTGTCGTTTAGTCGTGTCCGACTCTTCATGACCCCATGGACCAGAGCACTCCAAGCCCTTCTGTCTTTTCTAACATCAGGGTCTTTTCCAGGGAGTCTTCTCTTCTCATGAGATGGCTAAAGTATTGGAGCTTCAGCTTCAGGATCTGTCCTTCCAGTGAGCACTCAGGGTTGATTTCCTTTATACAACATACAAAGAGGTAAGACAAAGACTACAAGGCCCAAAGCCTTGTATGTTGTATATTGATTGCAGTCCACTATGAAACTGCGGACTCTGATCCTGTGGATATGAGGGGCCTACTATCCCGCAGTTTTCACTGGTAATCAAGTAGTAGAGCATCTCTCTCCGTGCACAAACACACACTGTGGATCACTCCAACTGCCCCCTCTTAGCAACCCCTTTCCTAGCAATCTCTGAGGCAAACTCTTGGAAATAGCAACGACAGGCTGAGACAGCAACAAGGAGCCCCAAAGATAGCCCAAGAAGCAAAGTTCAGACCCCACCCAGGCCCCTGCAGTGCAGCCTTCACGTGTCCCTGCATGTGCGTAATCTAAGGTCGCTAGGATGATGATTGAAATAGGGCTGGCTGGCTGGGTCCTTAGGGAGGTGGGCAAGATTTCGCAGCCAGAGAAGGAAGGTTTGGGACAGCTAATCCAAGCTTTTGGGCCCTGCTCATGATGCCAAGGCAGGGCCCTGAGGATTTGGTACCAATGCAAAGTATGGAGTTGGCCAGTAGCGAGTTGAATTATATAATTTAGACAGGCAAGGCTGCCAGATCGGACCCCTCTCCAGTGCTTTAGCTGGGAGGACAGTGTGATCTGCCAGGCTGAAAGCCAGGCCTCAGGAAAGCTATTTATAATTTGGAGATGGAAGGAGCAGGAGGTAGTGGATGGCTTCAGTGAAGAGGGATGCTTGTCAGCTTCGGACCCCTCTCAGAGGTTGTTCTATAGCCCAGACATCCAGCTGAAGAGGGAATTTGCCTTGTTAGAAGGGCAGTTAAAGGTAGCAACGAGAGAGAGAGAGAGAGAGAGAGAGAGAGTCCCATGAGGAGATTTTTTATCTGTGTGTGTGTGTGTGTGTGTGTGTGTGTGTGTGTGTGTGTGTGTGTGTGTGAGAGAGAGAGAGAGAGAGAGAGAGTGTGTGTGTGTGAGAGAGAGAGAGAGAGAGAGAGAGAGAGAGAGTCCCATGAGGAGATTTTTTATCCTCCTGGGAATTATTTCCCATGTTAATCAGCAGATGCCATTCTGAGTTATTTGGTCCTTTTAATGTTTATTTGTTTGTTGGGGCTGGCCTTGAGTAGAGCAGCCACCCTGCTTTTAACTGAGGTGAAATTCAAAGCCAATTTCAACATTGTGGATCTCTTCCGAGATTCATTCTGCTTCCTTAAAGTTTCTGAGGCATTTTTTTTTTTGGCCTGAGTATGAACCACATTCAAAACCAGCTAAGAGATATACCGAGATAATTTTTTTAATGTTTTCTGGGAAATTAAGTGTGGGGGGCGGGAGGAATCAAGGCACTGCGGACAATTTGCCTGCTGACACTGGGTGGGAGGGGTTGTTTTCCCCTGGACAGCTCCAGAAGATTCCTATCCAGAATCTGGGAAAGTTATGGATTGCGACAGTTGGTTGATGACTGTTCTGTAGTGCAAAAACAAACAAATCAACGAATAACCTTCCCAGCTCTTATCACTACCAGTCAAAAGAAAATATGCAGCTACATATTTAATTTTCCCTACGAAATAGATTTTTTTTCCTGATAAGAAAAATGACAAAAACCTGTGGGAAAATACCAAGAGTTTCAAACAGAAAATAATGTTTTCTTGATATACAGTAAAAAAGCATATGTGAAGCACACTGACAATAGGATTAAAAAAAATCAAGTAAGTTCATGCTGGATGGCAAACCTATAGAAGACAGGAGTACCCCCTTGTTCTCCAGTTTTCAATTAAACACTGATCTTCACACAAAGCCTCTTAATATATCAAGGCCTAGTCCTCAGTGACAACACTACTACTCTACACAGAAGCAGGGAGCCATGCAATGAAATTGCTTCTAGAAACCCCCAAATTCCCTATACTATATTTTATATCTCACAGCGTATTTTTGCTACATTTCTACATTTGCTTCTTTAACTTTGTCTTTCCTCAAGTGAGGTCGAGATATTGTAATATATATGGCTCTCCTCCTACACATCATCCTCAAAACAGTCCTGTGAAGCAGGTCAGACTGTGCCTGAACCAAAGTTACCCAGTGAGTTTCCTAACTGAGGAGGATTTGGACTCAGGTCTCTAGAATCCTAGTGGAACCTTCTAACCACTCCGCCATATTGGCTCTTAGGAAATTGAACATGTCAGGATCTTTTTCCTTACTTGCTTTGTTTGCTTTCTTCTTTCTTTCTTTTTCCTTTTTTGGTATGAGGAAGAATTCATCACATGAACAAACATACACCTACCTCAAGTGGCACAGTTTGTTTGTTTACTTGTTTATTTATTAAACTTATATACCGTCCATCTAGAACTTGTCTACTCTGGACGGTTTACACAAAATATATTTAAAAAATTAAAATAAACTAAAAAGGTATAAATGAACTAAAGAACTCAAATGTAACATCTCAGTAAGGATTTTGTATATTTGTTAGTATAATACTATATCCTCTGGGGATTGGTTCCAAGCTCCACTGTGGATATTGAAAACAGCAGATATTTTAACATACATTACTAGACTGGGCCATTAGAGGGCACCAGAGACCATGGTATGTATTCATAGCATGGTATCTGGCGCACTCTAGTGATCGGTTCTGGTAATACCTGTGAAAATAGTTTTTTTCTGGATTTTTTTTTCTTTTAATATTTTTAATATTTTCAGACATGGATAGGTGAAATTGTGGATGCTGATCCCGTGGATATGGGGGCCTTACTGCAAAAAAAATTTCCTCCTCTTTTTGCACCCCAGTACTTTCCTACTCAGCCAGTATGCACTTCCATTCGCATAGAAATGGAACTCCCTATTTTGAAGTTGGTGATTCCACCATTCTTTTCATCCCATTCTTACAGTTAAAATCAACTCTCTTAAAACCAAGCCAACTTACAGTTAAAACCAACTTTCAGCCTGTTTATAAGTCCCCCCCACATCATGGCACCATCACTCAAAACATTTTTTGGACACATTATTGCAATACAAATTTTGAGTAATAAAATAAGAGAGCTGACAGAAGCCTTGTGAGGAATAAATGAGAATTAATCTGTAGCCACAGGGAAAGGAATTCAGAGAGGCAGTCTTTTTGACATGCTTAACAGAAAAATCTACCGAGTGCCTAATGCTACTAAAAGCTAATTATCAGTAGACCTTTAGGAGGCTCTGGGGAAAACAGTTTTGAGATATAGGCAATGCAGGTATATTTGCTAGGCGGTCAGTAGGATCTGTGCAAATCTGTATGTTTCTATCATTTGGAAGACTCTTAGGGATGAACAGATTTTCAATAATATTTATATTTATATTTACCTAACTTGTAGCCAGAGGGAAAGCATCTTGTGCCTAATATTATTCTGAGAGGGTTTAATCAGGAAATACTAAAAGCTATTTATGTGTTGGTCCAACGGGGGCTTGGGAAGAGCTGATTTCAGGATATGAATTATCGGCTTATTTGAACATCAGCCGTATTTTGTCTTTCTACCTGTTACCATTTAAAAATTTTTTTGGGGATAACCAACCAAGCACACGTTCAAACAGATTTATAATACAATTTGCAGTTAAAGACATTTGCACATTGTGATGTTAATGCGTATGTCTTTATGTTGATGGTTAACTGGCCTGAGCTTCTGTGAGAGATCATGGCATACAAATTCAACATATAAATAAATAATATATGAATATTTGCCTCCAGTAACTGGAGGAGGGTCCTCTTCAGCACACAGAGTTCTCGGCTTTCCTTATACTGAAAAGAGTTGCTTCTCTATCTGCGTTTGGGAGGGAGAAGCAAGTTCTCTTTTTTCTCTCTCTCTTTAAAAGGGATTCAGCTTTAAAAATAGAAGGAGGACCTGGTATGGAAGCACCCACCAGCGTGCCAGTTTCTAGACGGAAAAGCAAGCAGCATCTGTGTTTGTTTGGGTAACAGGGTGCAGAAGGTAGAGACAGTTCTCAGAGGTATTGGGAGGGAATATAAAAGGGTAATGCTGGCCGATTAACACCACCTCCTCCCGAAAGCACCCACGTTGTAAGAGATAATGCCCCTGTTTACTTGCTGTTATTTTTAAAGAGCTCATTCCCTCCGTGGGGGACTGCTACCTAACATAACAGCACAAACTTCCCAACGTGACCAAAGGTCAGAGCATCCATATAACAGAGGGAACATGAAGCTTCAGGAGAAGGCAGACCTGTTGATCCGGCTTCTCCAGATCCCAACTGCCCGCGCTGTCTCCCAAGCACAATGGGGAATGAAGGCTTGAAATTAGAGCAACCTTAACAGGGAGTTGCCCTCAAACCTGCCAGTCAGGGACAAAGGGAGAGTGACCCCATTTCTTTCCTTTTTGTTTGTTTGTTTTTACACTCCTCTATCTGAAGATAAAGCCAAGGCACAGTCTTTTTAAAATTTGACATTTACTGGCACAGTGCAGGGCCTAGCTGTCATATTTGGAAGCACTAGAGAGAAGAGTAACTGCTCAGGAAATCCTTTTAGGAATAGTGCAGAAGGATAAGATCTGTAAAACTGGTGTCAGAAAGCTGACTTCCATGCTTGCAGACCTACTTCTCTTGCTAAAACAGAGAAGCAAGAGAAAGAAAAGTGATCTGAGGGACAGGAAGAAAAGAAAATATTACCAATCTACATGTAGATCTAGAAAAGGGGGAAACACACCTAGCTATATTTTTTTCTAGCTTCTCTCCCAGTGCAAATCATTTGCTATGTGCATTGGTGAATTGTTATTTTTCCTTTTAAAAATATATCTCTTATCTAAATGGTTGTCCAGTCCAAATCTGATTTTAAAATAAAGAATAAGGAGAATGATGTTGAGGGAACTTGGTTGCTCATCTATTGTTAGCAGGCATGCACATTAGTCTCAGAAAGGATACAGGTTTATTAAAACATGCTATAATTGTGCTCAAATTATTTAAAAATCATTTACGGTACATTTTGTATATCATTATGTACATATAAATTTGTATAGGCATGCAGATTGGTGCCCTCTTTTTATTTTGGTGATGTGGGAATGGATACTCTGCACAAAAGCAAAAGAAGCGGGACAGAGGAAGAATCAGTTTGAGGTGACACAACCTGCAGGTGAGGTGGGGGGGATGGTAAAAGCTCCCAAACCCATCACCTGTTTCTTTGTAGATGGCCAAAGGGAACCAGTTTGGAAATACACTTTTTGGATGACAATTCCCATAAATTCCCTAGTTTCTTCTGAGAATAGTAGCTCCCCACAAAATAAAAATTTTAAGCTCTAGGGACTTGAGATGAAGCTACAGGAAGGGCCACAAATCAACGTGTACAGAGGCAGGAAGGCATCCATATAAATATTTGGGCCCGTTATTCATGACCCAATTACCCAAGATCATATGAATGCAAATTGCAAGTGCTAAACATAGAACCTCTTTTGACAGCTAGACTAGTCTAAGACATTCTGCTGCCTGAAGTGAAGAACTATGTTAAGGAGTTATTCCAACCTTACATGGTGTCTGAAGTAAGTGTATCTGGGAGGGACCTGCCTGGGCTGGGGTGATTGTCAATCTATCCAACACTAACCAATTGTTCCTTCCTGCCTCTGAATTTACAGAGAGCCCTGCCTCTCTATTGTGTGCTTCTTACACACACACACCGGTTCAGTTGTTTGTTTGCTGATGATCTCTTCACAATGGTAAGTAAAAAAATGTTCTTCTTCTTTCTCCTACAAATGTCTCGGAATGAGTTACTGAGGCTATAAGTGCCAATTAATGAGAAAGAGGTGAACTCGGGAGGACTTGTAGCTATTCTCCTTTGTGGATCTCTGTACTTCTACTGTGTAGCGACAGGAATTCTACCAGAAATTCAAAACTCTGCAACACATTCTGGGTACAAAAGCTGACTAGGCTGGGCAGCGGAATCTCTTTTCAACACTGACAATTGGATGGCAGTGTCCTCTCCAATATCAGAAGGCAGTTGGCTGGTTTGGGGGTACAGATACAGAAATCTCCTTTTTTGGATTGCCAATGCTAGGCTTCGAAATCATCATCATCATCACCATCACAAGGGGAAGTATTTCTATGACATTTCACATTTTCTCTGCAACCTACATTTGAACCTATAAGCACGTTCAAACATGTTTATGAGTAATCTGGCATTTCTCACCAGGCTACTCATAAACATGTTCAAACTCACCTTAAAAATATGACATGTCATAGAAATCCTCCTCCTAATAATCACCATCTTGGAACTGCAGAGCTGGCAGGGATACAATGGATCACTGAGTCCCACTCCTGTCAGGGAGGCGTAGTGGGGAATTGAACTCCCAGCCTCTAATTCTGCAACCAGAGACCTCAACCACTGAGCTATCCATCAGTAGTTCTAGTCCCAAAACTGTTTTCCATCTCTTTGCACAGCGCAAACAACGTTGTGCACACAGAACGTCCCTTTAGCACTCGGCTGCTGCATCCTCATATTAGCTACGTATTTGAGGCAAGTGCTTCAGTTTGCTTAAGGACAGAGCTGACCCTGTTGCTTCATGGGATACTTACCAAAGCAAAGGCAAACATCTTCAACTTAAGCAGCCTTCTGGTCGTTTGAAAGGTGAGGTGGCAGCTCAGAGCTCCTTAAGGGCCTTGCCTGTTCTAAGAGACTAAATCCAAGACACATGTTCATAGCAGCAATATTTTACTAAGGGCTGTCTTGTACTTGCAGCACCAAAGAATATGGAAAGTGGCTCAGAAGGTCTACAGGCAACTTCTGAGAAAGGCTTTTGTTCTGTAAAAGAAACGCTGCTCAAGAGAGGCAGTCTCACTGAAATGCAGAGATGCATACAAGCAGATGCACACTCAAATACTAAGGATAGAAATTCTTGATGATGAAGTAAACCCAAGATTCCAAATTTCAATAGTTAATCACTCCTTTAACATCTCATATACCTTGAGGACTCTGTTGGGGTCACCATACACTAGACGTGACTTAACAGCACATAACAAGAAATAGCATAGGCTACTCTAAAGCAAATGCACAAAACAAAGAGGAGCCTTCTGCAACAGTTTGGAACCCATGATAAAAGCATAGTATGGGGATTACATGTATGCAAGGATCTCCTTAGATTCAGATGGCAACCACTCATTCTATTTTTCCTTAAATTCCTACAGGGGCTTTCTCTTAACTCCCAGATCCCTAAACTCTGGATATTCTCCTTCAATCGTCTTCCACTGTTATCTCTCATCACTGATTAGAAATAAGAACTTATTCAAGGCTGGGAAGCTGCTATATAGAACTATGCTTTGCTTTGCAACCCTGGCAGCTGTTATACTGGCGTCTTCTCTGGAGTAGAAATGAATATAACTGAGCAGTGTTTGGTGGGGAAAATGTCCAATTGATAAGAAATACAGATGGACCTGGTGAATCAGCCCAATCCACTGTGGAATGCACCTCCTCACACAACGTTCCCCAAATGCATAGCCACCCTAAGATATTTGGCCACCTGAGCTAGAGGAGCTAATGTCATTTGTTGTCATCGTTTAGTCGTGTCCAACTCTTCGTCATACACTCCCCAAAATCAAAGCACATGGTATCCTAGGCCATTACAGTTATTCTGGAACATGAGACAGGAATCATCATAAGTGGTAGTAACAAAATAACAACATATTAAACATTTTCTGGCTTTTCATGGTATTCAGAATCAGCTGTGTGCTCCACCAGGCCTCATGGAAGGCTGATTCTGGCTGTGGTGAGATCAGGATCACAGTTCACATTGGGCCCTCTTGCAAACCACCCCTTGCAAGAGGTTTGGGATCCTTGGGAGAGTGCAAAACCACAGGTACCTTGATAAGGAAGGAAAATGTCAACACAGGGCAAGTTGGGTGAATGTCTTGAAAGGCTGTTAATTGCTTAACGGTTCTTCTCGGTTGCTAGAGAGGATGAGGACAGTAAGGGGGCAGGGTGGCTTCCTCTCTTTCTTGCCAAGTTCTTGGCTAATGCTTGACCTCTGGGGTACAAAAAGTCTCTTAAGGAGAGGAAGAAAGGGAGAAACAGAGGGAAGAATATCCTCATCAGGGCCTTTTGTTCCAAGCAACCGGAGGCTTTGCTATTTAGGAACAGGAGCCAGAAGGATTAGTGGTGGGGCAGAGCAGGAATGTCATCCAGGCTTGGCTGGCTTGTATGACAGGGACAGTTTGTGCACAAGAGATATTGCGAGACAGCAGCAATGACAGGAGAACAGGTGGCCAGGAAGGACAAAACATGAACAGGCACAAAGAGGAAGACAGAAAGCTGACCTTGCTTTCCTAAGGTAGCTTGTTTGTTTTCAGACCTATCTTCGTCTCCTAAACTAAAGGACTAGAAAGCGGAGGACTCTGGAGTGCTCAGTCCTGAACAGAAATAACACATTCTGCTGTGCAACAAAGTTTCAGAACACATCCAGACTTCTGGCAATTAGAAAATCAGTGTATTCTTATTAAGGAATGGAATCTAAATTGTGCACCAAGAGGTAAAAAAAATTGAATTTAACAAGAAGTAAATGAATACATAGAAATCAGGGATGTGGAACAGGGAATTGTGAGTCAAGGAAATTTTCCAGTACACCCATATTTCCATAATTATGGCACTAACACCAGAGTCAACTTGTAGCTTATTGTAGCTCTAAATATGTCAACTGCATTTGCTCTTCCATCCAAAGATTGAGTTGGTTTTCCTCCATGGTACTTTCCTCATTGTTCTCCATCTTTATGGTTCATCCTTTTCTTCAGTTTATTCCACATCTGGTTCCTCCTCCTCCTCCTCTTCCTCCTCCTCCTCTTCCTCTTCTTCCTCCATCACCCCCTCCTCCTCTTCTTCCACCTCAGCCTCTTCTGAAGCTTCACTGTCCAACTTGACTAAGATGGGACCCGGAGTAGAAGGACCTCCATCACTGGAAGATGTGTTGCCTTCTTCTGCTTCCTCCAGAGGATAAAAGTGTCGAGCTGCTGAGAAGAAGTCCTCTCCTACGTCGAGGAGAAGAAGCCTGTCCTGGGATTGGATTATGGGAAAAAGCAGGGGACAAAAGTGAAGAAGAAGAAGAAGAAGAAGAAGAAGAAGAAGAAGAAGAAGAAGAAGAAGAAGAAGAAGAAGAAGAAGAAGAAGAAGAAGAAGAAGAAGAAGAAGAAGAAGAAGAAGAAGAAATGTGATAATAGAACTAGTCCAACACACTCTAGGTAGAAAATTCAAATAGTATTCATTCTCAGATAGTGAGTTATAGAAAATCTGAATACTTGTTTTGCAGGGTATTTCATGCTGGAGTAACTCCTGTGTGAGAAATAAGGGAGGAAATGGGTATGGGGACCCTGGGCCTGCAATAGTTTCTTTTAGGAGCAGAGAACAGTCATTTTAACCAGTTTGCTTTGAAAACGGCCAAGCAACACCCTCTTAAGGAAACCCTATGGCCAGGTCCTGTCATTTTAAAAGCATGGTCTTCCACGAGTGTGGAGTTACCCTCTTAGACATGAGCATTTGCTAATTAAAAAACCCATTATATTTTTAATGGAAATCCAAGCCTATGAGCTTTCAAAAGAAGGGGACCGAGTCAAGCCCACTCTTCCCTAACTTAAATTCTACCTCCTGCCATCATATTATTTCTAGGCCAGGACTATAGCTTAAGAAAAGTCACCTTTTTGGGAGGGCAACCCACAGAATCCCCCAGCCAAAGTGTGGCTGCGCAAACTGTGGGCCACCCCCACAACTTACACATGTGGAATTTTGAGAGTTGCACTCTCCAAAATTTAACTTTTCCTCAGCTATGGTCCTGGTCTGGACAGAACAAGATTTCAGCTGTAATCTAAAGGAGTGTTTTCTTGAAACTCTAAACAGGAAAACAGTGATTACAATGGGGCTGGATACAAATATATTTTAAAAAATATTTTCTTCTCCCATTGAAGAGCAACCCTTACTATTATGGCTTTCCTGCCTGCTACTAGTAGTACAGGGCTTCTCAACTTTAGGTCTCCAGATGTTCTTGGACTAAAACTCCCAGAAGCCTTCACCACTAGCTCTGCTGGCAAAGATTTCTGGGAGCTGTAGTCCAAGAACATCTGGGCCCCCAATATGGGGACCCATTATGGTAGTGGAAAGAGTAATCTCAAAAGCTAGGGAACATTAGTGGGCAAGTAGGGCTTTACAGGGAGCAACTGAGGGCCCGTGTCTGGCAACTCTCTGTCCCACCAAGAGCTTCCTCCTTTACTCACAAGTACAAAAAGGTATCTCTCTGGGGGACCACCACGGTGATGGCCAAAAATGCTTGTCTGCTGAGCCAGTGCATTGTGGAGCCTGCGGGCCTCTTGAGGATTGTGAAGGGATTCGTAGGTGGTGCTGGATGTGACCGTGAGAAGTCCATCAGCTTCATCTTTGAATCCTACATTGGGAAATGTTCACATTATCTCCATATCCATTCAGAACACCAACTCACTCAGTTACAAACATTCCCTCTTTTATTGTCTGTGCTGTCTGGGAAACTGGCAGTAGGAAAAAAACACAACTCAGTCGTTAAAGTCCTCCTTAAAACCTGCACAGAAACCTATGATGCTGAATAAAAATTCCAGCAACAAAGAATCCCAGCCCATAAAGACTCTAAAAGGGGGGCGGGGGGATTGGCTTCTGCACATTCAAGACTCTAGAAGTATACAAACTTAACAGGTCATCCATCTCCTGGCATCAGGGGAGCCTCTCTAAGAAGAGCACTCTATAAACAGGATGCCATCAAGGAAAAGTGTGTGTCTTCAGTACAAAGCTTGGAAAAAGGACTCCCAGAATCCTGATTAGTGTGGCTGTTTGTAGTTCAAAAAAGTAAGTTTTCCATGTCCAGTGGCAAAGGTCGCTGTGGGAATGTGTAAGGCAAAGTTAGACATAAAGACTCTAAAAGGGGGGCAGACTATAATTTTGTCTAAAATCTTTAGACTAAAAATTGGCGGTCGTATTATACACGGAAGTAAGCTGAGGAGAGAACAAAAACAAGTGGAGGGAAAAGCAGGGATCAAAGAGATCCTGCACACCTTGATCCCTTTCCCCCTCCACTTGCTAAGCTCCACTTAGATTTCTCAATTTTGGATTAGAAAAGTGGGGGGCATTTTATACATGGGGCGTCTTATACACGGAAAAATATGGTAACATCTTTTCCAAGCACTAGCCCAGTACTGCGTCTCCTGAGGTGGGAGAACCCTGAGAGAAGGAAACTACCGTAAGGTGATCCCAGGATCTGGTTGGGCACATGTGGGAAGAGGTGATCTTTCAGGTCCCCTGCCCAAACCTGTTTTGGATCTTAAGGTCAAAATCAGGAATTTTAATTTGGTCTGAAAAAGGACTTGAAGACAGTACGCATAAAACATAGTTACATGGCCATAGCTTAGAAAATATATTGCTTGGCCTACAGCTGACCGTGCTTGCTAGTGGATTCTAGGAGCTGTACACAAAAGTAATTCTAAGCTCTGAATATGCTCAAATCACCCAGTCCATTTGATAGTCTTGTCCCATTTTGACTATGTCTTTCCATACTGTTTTAAAAAACTACGCCATCTACAAAGCACTGCACTAATCCGGACAGACAGTGATCAGAGAACAGGGAACTGATTACGCTGTTACACAGAGCCCCTGGCGGTAACGATTCAAACGCATACGCCTGGAACCTGATATGAAATAGGAAACCTGGGACACTGTCCAGACATAACAAACAACACTGCCACCAAATGTTAAGGCAAGCAAAGGCTTACTTGACAATTAATCACCATCTTGTATGATCAAAGGAGAATCCCATGTGGAGTATGGTAGTCTGGTGTAATTCTTAAGAACTTTGGCTTTTGGTTAATCAAGCTCTGACAGGCAGCAGAAACAGACAAAGTGTCTCCATCACCAGTCCCAAACAGATCTTTCTCTTCATTCGTAACAACTATATAATCAATTAATTGATCTGCATCTGCTTACCTTCCAACATACTGTGTTTCCTTGAAAATAAGACAGGGTCTTATATTGATTTTTGCTCCAAAAACACATTAGGGTTTATATTCAGGGAATGTGTGTGTGTGTGTGTGTGTGTGTGTGTGTGTGTGTGTGTACAACAACCTACATTTATTCAAATGCAGTATTATCTTCTGGTTGCTGCACAATGGTGGAGGGCGGGGTTTCACTTAACTGGGGCTTATTTTGTGGGTAGGGCTTATATTACGAGCATCCTGAAAAATCATACTAGGGCTCATTTTCAGGTTAAGTTTTATTTGGGGGAAAACAGGGTACTACGGGAGATTACTACTCTGATGCTAGAATTCAGTGGCATTGCAGCAGTCCAGGCAATGGAACAAATGTGGACATGCAGCAAATCTCAGCTTGCTTTTGGTATATATGCTGCCAGGAATATCAGAAATGAATTTCTTATATTCTGCTTTTAAATTATAAATTTTTTCTTCCAAAATACGAAGTCAAAAATTGGATGTCATATACTGTATGTGATAGGGCATACACTGATACAATATTTTCCTATTAATATTCTAGTTTAGAGTCCCTTTCTGCTATTTGATATCTTGCAACAACAGATACCATATATGTCTGCTTTACCAGATAATTCTGAGGAACTCTTTGTCTAGGTCAAAAGTCCCCAACATGGGACCCTAGAGGGGGTCACAAAGTGTTTTCTGAGGGTTGTCAGGCTTAAACAAACTAAGGGTTTCTAGCCGTAAGCCACTGATGAAGCTAACAAGTTATTAATTGCTTTGCTTTCTCAGCAAGGGTTAAAGGCACTGAGTTGGATTCCTAGAGAGAAAGGGAGCTGTGGATCATGGGATAAAGTGTGCAGTCCAAAAGAAGTCCCTTCTTCTTTCTCCTTTCTTCCCCAGAGAGAAGTGTGAAGTTTCTCTTCCCCAAAGGGCTGCTTTTCCCTTCCAGGATCTGGAGATTCCCCTCCCACTTATGCCTGGGAATGATGTTGGCAGATCCGTCCCAGCTAGGCTGGAGGAGACGCTAAGAAAAGCTTGGTGGGGCCTGGGAGCAGGCAGAACCAAAATTGCAAGCCCAGCTAAGCCAAGGGGGGAAGGACCCTCTTATCAGGCAGCAGATATTTGGTGGCAGTGTTATGTGCTGTCAGATTGCTGCTGCTTTTGGGGTCCCCTATGAATTAATGTTTCCCCTCTCTCCTAAAAACCTCACTGTTGCAGTCTTGTAAAAGACTCAATATTTATTAAGTCACTCACTCTCGAGTTCTATCTTCCTCTTTTCCTAACATTATTGTCTTTTCCGGGGAAGTTTGTCTTCTCACAATCGTTTTTCCTATCAAAAATGCCTTTTAATGCAAATATGGTGGAGGGTTTTTCACAGGTTACTTGGCTGTTAAAAAGTGGTTAACAACTCAAAAAAGGTTGGGAAACACTGGTCTAGGTGTTTTGCTGTAAAATGAATCTGCAAATATAACAGCAAACTGAAAAACATGTTTTTTTAAATGATCTATTTGACAGACAAATAAGACAATTTCCTTCACACTCCCAGAAAGCAATGTCCTAATGTGTATGGCAGGCAGAATTGGTACAAAGAAAAAACAGTAAGGACTTCAAAGTTGACCTTCATTGGAAGTACTTGGTCTGCAAACTAAGGATACTGTACCTAAAACCTCCAGGATTTGCCTCCATCGGTCGTTCATCTTCCTACGGATTTGTCGATGGGCGATGATGTCAAAACTCAGCCGTCGGTAGCCCTTTGTCAGGATACAGAAGAATATAAAAACAATGATCCACTGAGCTACTAGCACAATACTCATCATTTTGATGAACAAAATGTGTTTGAAGAAGAAATCTGTGTACTAAAGGAAGCCCTAAATGGATGCTATGTACTGTATACCTGTTTGCACATATACACATACCCAATACACTGGTCTAAAGTGGTGGTCCCAGCCTCACATCTACAGATGTTCTTGGATGACAACGCCCAGAAACCCAGGCCAGCACAGATAGTGGTGATGGCTTCTGGGAGTTTTAGTCCCAGAATATCTGGGGAACCAGGATTGGGAATCCTTGTCTAACGAGATCCCTTTTTATAGTAAGACAAGCTACCGTATTTTTCGCACCATAAGACACACTTTTTCCCCACAAAACAGGAGTGTGGAAAGTCTGTGCGTCTTATGGAGCGAAGGAAACAGATATTTTCCTGTTCTCTTCTAAAAAATTGGTGAGTCTTATGGAAAGGTGTGTCTTATGGAGCGAAAAATACGGTATTCCCATTGAATTAAGTCTGACACTTATGGAGCGAAAAATACGGTATTTCTTCCCATTGAATTAAGTCTGACGCTGCAAATCTGCCAATGGGAGACCATTTCAAAGTGTGTCAGAAATAGCAGTGCCCCCTGCTGTGGTTCCTGACCCTGCATAGAGTCATTTAGCATAAAGTTTAGTCTCCTGGGAATCAAATTCTATTTACAAACACTTGGTGTTTCTAGCCCTTATGACTATAGAGGTAAGCTTGAGAATACATGGGCAAAGCAGTTCAGCAATGACATCTGGACTCTGGAGAATTAGATAAAGTAACAAACTGTCCCAGAAGCATGCAAAGAAGATCAGTTCCAGAGCTTGGGCATGCCTTTCAGGTCTACAACTCACAAAATCTTCTAGCCACCAGGGCCAATGGTTAGTGACAAAAGATAATTGAAATCAGCTTCTCTAAACTCTGGTCAGTTCACACATTTATATCTTGCATTTCCTTTTGGCTCAAGGCACTGCTAACATCCTGTACCCCCATTCATATGGAAGAAGAAACAAACAACTAGAGGCATATGCTTTACTAGTTTGCTTTATCCCGGTTCAACTTCACCCAATTAAATTCTGTTCCTGTAAAAATGTTCTGTGTGGGTAGATTACAGACCTCGGATCCTCGGCGCATTTTTGACCTCTTCTTCAGCAACTTGTGCAACTCATGGTCATCGTCCCGTTCCATGTGGGTCCTGTCCACAGGCTCATTCCACAGGTTTGCTGCCTCCGATTGCCGACGTTTCTGCAGCTTGTTGAAATACTCTAGTGTGTCCCTGCAAAACAAAGATGATGATGCTCTTCTCCAAATGGAACAGCAAACCCTGGCATAGTTTTGAGATAGTGACTAGCCTGAGGGGCTGGAGCTACTTTGAGCCATAAGAGCAGGCACATGGGGGGGGGGGAATACTCCTCTCTACAGAAATTATTCCTGCAAAAAAGAACACGTGTTTTGAGAAGAGGCTCAGCCAAGACTTCACCCTGACATGCTACAGGAGGAGCCTCGTGGTGCAGTGATAAATCTGCAGTACTGCAGTCAAGACTCTGCTTATGTCCTGAGTTCAATCTTGATGAATTTAGGTAGCTGGCTCGAGGTTAATTCAGATTTCCATCCTTCTGTGGTCGGTTAATTGAAGACTCAGCTTGCTGGGGTGGGAAGTAATATGTACCTTGCATAATTAAATCACAGTATTAACTGTCCCGAGAAAGCTTTAAGTGCTATGGAACAGTGTATAAGAAGCACACTTTGCTTTACATTGTTAATCTGCAGGAATAACATTCCGTTATCTCCTCAGTTTAAGATTCCCCGCGAGGCCTCTCCACTCCAGTATATCTTAGGTCAGTGTTTCCCAAACTGTACACTGTGGCTCTGTGGGCCCTGGGAAACCCACCCAAGGGTGCCGCTGTATCCTCTCATCCTTCCCCCCTCCCTTCTCCTCCCCCTCACCCTAAGTGTCCTACAGCACTAACTTGCAGTTTCTCTTGTATCTGTGCATAGTAGAGAGAGGGAACCCTGACCCAGTCCCCAGTCTAGTAAATGGACTGGGTTTTCTGCCCTCTCCTTCCCAAGGCAGCCTTCTTTGACCCCCTCTTCCCACATGTGGCTTCTCCATTGCCTTTCCTCAGAGAAGTGAGGCCATGAGTGTATTTCCATTACACCCCCTGTATACACCACAGTCTCTGGTTCCATCTAGTGGGCCATCCTGATAGTACACCTTCGGAGGGTATCTTTTCCCCCCCTTTTTTTCTTTTCTTTTTTTTATTATATAAATCCATCCATACTTATTTAACATCGTGTCCCCAGGGTATAGCTTATAATCATTTGTAAAACAATTACTACACACATTACGCTCCTAATATACAACATCCTTCTAACCATTGATAGAATAAGTCCCATGTTTGATAGGAGGGTATCTTCATGTATTTTATTTTATTTTTTTCAACAGTGTATAAGTGAAACCACAGGTACTGATCCTGCAGATACAGCAATTTTTTTTTCAACAGTGTATAAGTGAAACCACGGGTACTGATTCTGCAGATACAGCAATCCTACTGTATTGGGGAGCCACGGCCAGTGGGCAGTAGGTAAAGGGAGCCACGAGTCAAAAAATTTTGGGGAACAATTGCAGTAGGTAATAATGTTTGGGCTAAGCTTCAGAGGGCTGACCTGAAGCAGTAGTGGGTAAAATGTGACGGACCAAATAAGGCCCTCAGAGGCTGTTTTTGCAGTCAAGAGGCCTTCCCCAACCTGCCTTTTTTTTCAGCCAAAAGAGATGAATTTCAGGAATATCTATTAATGTTCAAACAGGTCACAGCTTTCCTACACCATGTTTTGGCATTTGGGACAGTCTTGGAAGCCTTTAGTGGTTCCCAGGAACAGCAAAGTGGCCTCCAGAACTGCCTAAGTTGACCACCTTTCATCTAGTACTTGAAAAGGTACAATGCTCTCCAGCCAGCATTGTCTATGCCAATGAGAAAACTAGAGCAGATATTCTAATAGAGAACATATTTCTAAAAGTTTGCTGAAACACATTAACTTAATGATATTTTATGTTGATATTCTGTTTGATATTTCATAACCATGAAGCTGTTCACAAATGAGCTGCAAGGTCATGTTTTCAATGCATTGTAGGTCAATGGAGATTTGACCTACAGACTTTTCGACTTGCAGCCACCGTTCCAATACGGATTAATTCCGTAAGTAGAGGGTCCATTGTACAATGCTCTCCAGCAAGCATTGTCTATGCCAATGAGAAAACTAGAGCAGATATTCTAATAGAGAACATATTTCTAAAAGTTTGCTGAAACACATTAACTTAATGATATTTTATGTTGATATTCTGTTTGATATTTCATAACCATGAAGCTGTTCACAAATGAGCTGCAAGGTCATGCAAGAAAATCCTAAGTTTCCATGCTGTGCTGGTTTTTGGTTTGCTTTGATCAGCATTGTCTCTCATTGTATGGTCCTTCCTAGTCCTTCTAAGTGAGATTCTGAAGATGGAACCTGGGGTAACCTGGAATGATTGAACATTAACACTAATTCTTAGAGTGAAACCGACAGGTTATAAATTAAAAAAAATTATGACACACATGATTTTAGTTCAAAATGTAGTGTCACAATATGTTCCTATCCAAAGTAGCTTAACTGTTATATCCGAGCTTTCAAAATAAAAAGCAAGAAAGCATGCTGCTTATATACCACTCCATAGCACTTCAAGCACTCTCTGGGCGGTTTACAATTTAATTATGCAGGCTACACATTGCCCCCCCAGCAAGCTGGGTACTCATTTTACTGATCTTGGAAGGATAGAAGGCTGAGTCAACCTTGAGCTGGCTACCTGGGATTTGAACCCCAGGTCGTGAGCACAGTTTTAGCTGCAGTACAGCAGTTTAACCACTGCGCCACCGCTGCTATATTAAGCAGAATGGCGTGACAGTGGGGAGGATGGGTGGGATGTGTGAATCACAGAGGTCCACTCGAAGAACTACAATTATAGGTGGGTAACCTGTCATTCTTCTTCATGGCCTCTGTGAATCACACCCTGGGTGACTAAAAAGCTGTCTTACCTGGCGGCAGGGTGTCACACCAAGGTAGAGTCTAGAACAGCACGTCCAAAGGCCGCATCAGACTTCTGCCGGAGATCAAGTCTATAATCCTGGATGAAAGTGGATGGCTGTGCCCAGGTGGCAGAGGTGCAGACATCTGGAAGAGGTACGCCACGTAGGAGTGGCATAGAGGTTGCCACTGCTCTGGTGGAGTGACAGCGAATCACTTTTGGGACTGGTTTGTGTGGCAGCTGATACGCGAGGTGAATGGTTGAAGCGACCCGTCTAGATATAGTTTGAGACATCACCTGGCAACCTTTAGTAGGTGGTTGGTGACTTATGAAAAGTTGAGGTGAACGCCTGAAAGGTTGGGTGCGTTGGACGTAAAAGGCAAGAGCTCGCCTAACATCTAAAGTATGGAGGAGTCATTCTTGAGTTGTGGACGACTTTGGGGAGGAAAGAAATATCCATGGATAGTTCGACTTTGTCCGGAAAAAAACTGTAAATAACTGTAAGTAAGGCCGCTAACTCACTAGCTCAAGCTGAGATGATGGCAATGAGGAAAACTGTTTTAAAGGTAAGTAGCCATAAAACAGTTGAAGCTAAAGGTTCGAAAGGAGCGTTCGTAAGTTGTTGCAGTACTAGTGTTAGTGACCATTGCGGAGAAGGGGGGCAGATATCTGGGTAGATATGAGATAGACCTTTAAGAAAATGTTTCAGTGTTGGATGTTTGAAGAAATTAGCTGCCAGAGAGTTAGGGGCTGATAAGAAACTCTGGCAGAGGGGTAAACTCCCAAGGAAGAGAGGGAAAGGCCACTAGACAAATAAAAGAGAGTTAGGGGCTGATAAGAAACTCTGGCAGAGGGGTAAACTCCCAAGGAAGAGAGGGAGAGGCCACTAGACAAATGAAGCAAAAAAAGTAAGACAGTAGCAAGTGATGGGTTGATAGAAGGCAATGAAGAAGCTTCAGTGAAAGATTTGAATCTGTTCCATTTATACAGGCAAGCCTTTCTAGTGGAGGGTGATATTGAAATAGAGGTTGTTGACGAGCTGGTAAAGCAGTGGAGTATATAGACGCTGGAGATGCCGAGCGAGAGGAATGATTTCCCTCGTCTGGATTAGCGGGAAAATATTGGGAGGCTGGAGCTGTAAAAGCCTCATGTGTAGAAGCAAATTGCTTGACCGTCCTGGATCTTTTAGGTGCCAGGTAGGGAGCAGGTTGGAATCCATGTGGGTCGTGGTGATATGGCTGTTTTGACATCAATGGCTGTCGAGATCAAGGCCCACCATGAGAAGGTATGGCCGAGCTGGATAGAGCAACTGGCTGATTGGCAGTTGCAGTTTGTCCGGTTGAGCACTGGTCGGAGCAAATAGCAACCTGATCAGAGTGCTGATCAGAGTTTGAGCCACGCGTAATGAAATAGACGGCTCCAGGGACTGTTGGGGCCGATGTCTCTGAGGAGGTCATGGTGGACGATCAGATGTTACCGAATAAGGTATGGTCTCTAGTTGTTGTTCGGAGTCGACCCTGTCAGGTGAAGCAACTATGGAAGGGCTGCTTGAAAGAACAGAGCGTTGAGGACTGAGAGGAGAAGATGTTAATCGATCAACTCTGTCATCCCATTCTGGTTACTGGAAGCAGGGTTGATGAGAGGGGATTCCGTCATTGTCAGAAGGTGAACCAATAGAGAGTGATTTGGCAGTTTGTTGAGACTACTGAGAGATTATTGCAGCTTTAGATTTATGCTGTTTAGGTCTTTTAGGCGGAGAAGGTTCCAGGATCGAAAAGGCTTTGGTGGACATTTGACATTTAGTGAGGGCTTTGATATTGAGGATTTTAGAGCGTTTCAATTTATGGATTTCTGAAGTTTTAGGCAAAGTGGATGGAGCGTCAGAGTGGGATGGTGTAGTTGATCGATGTTGTTTTGAGGCTTCCGAAAGAGCCTTCTCCATTGCTTTGGTTTGTGAGGTGGCCTTACAAGGAGGTTGGGCCATTTTGGTTGGTTGACGAGATTGTTCCCAAAAACGGAGTTTTAATCTGGATAAGTGAGAACAAAGGACTCCACACTTGAAGTTCTTGCAGTGCTGGCAGGAGAACGTCTGGTGCACCTGTCCCAAGCAAAAAAGACACTTGCCATGGCCGTCGGAGAGTGGTATTTTGTTATCACAGACCACACAGTGTTTAAACAGGTCCAAAGGGGCCATGAATAGGAGAAAATGTGAGGAGAAAATGGATGATTGAGGTGGGTGGGTGCTGTGGCTGAATAGGAGAAAAATAATTTGAGGAGAAAATGTGATGATTGAGGTGGGTGGGTGCTGCAGCCGGAGGCCGAGCGGAGGAGAAAGGAAAAAAAAATCTCTGATGATAATGAATTTGATCTAAGTTAAAAGGAAAAAAAGATTGATAACAGGAAGGAATAAAGAAAAAACTCTCTTTTTTACTCATAGAAGCAAAGAAAAGATTGATAACAGGAAGGAATCAAGAAAAAAACCTCTCTTTCTCTTTTACTCATAGAAGCAAAACTACAAGGCTCTCAACACAGTGGTTGAAAGAAGCTGAAAGGGGAGCCGCTACAAGGCTCTCAACACAGTGGTTGAAAGCTGAAAGGGGAGCTGTGGCGCCAAGGTACTTTTATGAGGGGGAGGGGCCTTATTCTAATGTGTTTTTGCTACCACAGAAACTCTAGAACTTTCTGATGAGGCTCTGCGCAGGCGCGGATCACCCAGGGTGTGATTCACAGAGGCCACAAAAAAGAACCAATCTTTAATATTTTCTTCAACACTGTCACACTGAGACAACAAAACATGCGGCAGCTGCAGCTTAAAAAAACCACAACAACAGTTCTTTTCAAGTGCAGCCCTCAAAGTACCTAAAGTCCACTCATCAATTTAAGTAGAATCCTAATAGCCCTTGAATTAGAGTTGTTTACATATATCAGCTAAAGTCTGCAGCCCTAAAATAAGAGCAGCTGTACTTTAAGTGACGCAAAGGCATGAAGGCAAACACAAAGGAAAGGAGTTGAAAGCAAGCTGATGGACAAAACACAGTACTCAAAGCAGTGAAAGAAAGAAAGTCAGAATCACTTTCTATATATACTAACAGAGGTTTATTCTGCAACTGTCAATCCTTATATAGCCCAAAATGTACCATCCATGCAGGAGGGGGTCGGGGTCTCCAGACATGGAGGAATCCCAAGATCTGCAGAAGGAAACACATCTTTTGAAACAAACCCAGAGAGGGAGGAAAGAACCGCGAGACACTGCAATCATGCTTGACCTGCTGGATCTAGGGTTGGAATGGAGTATTCTGGAAAATGACACAGCCAGATGCTGGCAAGCATCCTCAAAAAGAGCACTCGATATTGCAGTGTTTTGTTACAGGTCCTACTTGGTTCGACTACAGTGGTGGCAGGTTTCTAGAACCTGCACAAGGATGGATTTTAGTATTGCCAGTTTCCTCACTTCACTACTTTGAAAACAATATATATATGAGAATATCCACTAAATGCATAGTACTGTGTAACATATTTACAGAATCTAGTTCAACTTAGGGTCTGACAAATGCAAAGAGATGCTCGTTTGCTGAATCACATACCCAACGACCAGTGGATTCTTCTCCAGTTCTTCTTCTCTGTGGCAACAGCAACAGCAAACTTTGTACCAGAAATCCATTTCTTGCTCTGTTTTGCACCTATTGGCAGGTATTATGATATGCCTGTGACAAGCATATCAAGATGTAATAAAATGAAGATAGGGAAAATAGCATTGGGGCGGATGTTAGTCCATGCAGCAAAAGCACTTTGTTTGAAAAGAGGCAAAAGAGTTCAAAAAATTCTTTTATGATCTGCAAGTCATAAGTAGCTATCATGTGAGATCCTGCTCGCATAACCCAAGGCTTTTAAACAAAGTACACGGCGTCTAAAATAGTGTACTGGCTCTGTGGTGTTAACATGAAATGAAAAATAGGTTTGTTTTTGGTATCTTCATCAAGAACAAGACTATAGAGTTAGAAGCAAAGTCGTGAGGTACTGCGTAACCTCATGAAGGCAAAAGGACTGCGTTTGCTGAATGGCAAGCAGCTGGAAAAAACAAGAAACACACATTTTAAAAAATGTATTAACTACTGCGAGGGTTCGGTCACATTGCCCATTTGAATCAATTTCTGTTTGGATTTTTATATATATACAGTGGTGCCTCACAAGATGATTGCCTCGCAGGACGATTAATCCGCACGACGATGGGTTTTTGTGCTCGCTGTTGCGCTTCGCAAGACGGTTTTTCCTGTGGACGATTTTTGCAAGACGATGTTTGGGTCTATGCTTCGCAAGATGGTGTTTTTTTTAGACCAATGCTTCGCAAGACTTTTCCCCCCATTGGAACGCATTAAATAGATTTCAATGCATTCCAATGGGGAACCGTGTTTCGCAAGACAACAATTTTCATGGAACAAATTAACATCATCTTGCGAGGCACCACTGTAAAGTCAAATGGTATATAAATACGTACTCATATTAACTTTGACTTAAATTACTTCAATTTATTTCTGGTAATTAAAAGTAGTTTGGGGGACTACATGGAAATCAACTCATTTTCCTTCTGTTTTAGGAGCATTTTATTCTTAAAGATTTTGATTCCCCGCCTAAAAGCAATACATCACTAAATTGAGTGTCTATGAGGTGCCACCTGCTGGCATAATAGCCGTTAGAAACCATGGAGGAAACACCAGAGAGGGGACCCCAGGCAATTAATGATAGAAAAATAGGAATGGGGGGGGAAGGGAAGGCTTCCAGCGAGTTCAGCAGAAAGGGAGCCGATGCTGGAGCCTCCGTCCCTGCATGACTCTCTTAAATGCTTCTTTTCCTAGCATGTTAGCTGTCCTCTTGAGTCTTGGTGTGCTTGCTTTCTGCCTGCCAGTGCAGTGCTGAGCTGCTGGGTGGGCTGAAGCAGCTTCCTGAATCAGCAGGCTGGCCAGCTGCTTTGCGGAGTGATGTTCCTGGCACGTAGACCGTGTTCTGTGTCCCAGTGGTTATCTGCTGCTCCGTCAGCTACTTCATTGGCCAAATAGAGAAGATGGGGTAGGTGGTTGCACTAGTGAATGTATTGATGAAGTGCTGCAGCAATAAACATTTTAAGAATTTTTTTTTAATTACAAGGAAAAACCGTGATGCACCTGCCACCCAAAATCCACATAGGGACACCCCACCCACAAAATCATATTGAGAATCCATCACACCATTTTGGGGTCTGAGGCAGAAAATTCCTCATTTCTCATCAGTAAAAATCCCAAATAATGTTAACTAACCAATTGATGCCCTTTCACAACACCCTAAACTGGCTGAGGAAGCTGCCTCACTCTGCCTAGGTTTAACTAAATAATCACAAAGCCATTGTTTAATTTGCCTGCTACCCTTTTCAAGTTAGGCTCAACCCCGCTATCATTATATATTCATGGTGTGCCTTCAGGCAATTCAGAGGGTAGTTTTCTCATCCTGATACTTTATCCTTTCTGTGCTGGAACAGCTCAGTGTGTTGGCATGTCTGACTGTAGAGACAGGGGCTAAGAGTCTGAATCCCTGCTGTGCCTTCCGGGAGAGTTTGTGTGGCTGATGGGGTTACATGCCTGGCAGGCAGAAAGGTTCCAGAATGCCATTTGTAGGAGGGGCTGGTAAACCACTTTTGAAATATTTTACACCTAGAAAATCCGATTAGGTGATTATTAAGTTGGAATTTACCTGACGGCAAAGAATTATACTTGAGTGTGTATGGTGGTCCTGTTTGTTGGATGGAGATTTGAAAATGAAGGAAAATCAATTCCAGACCAAAAGAAACACTGAACCACATTATCTTTTTCTAAGATTTTATTAGATTAGTCATAAAGACTTGATGCAAAAGGCATGTGTGTTATTCAAGTGGCTTTTTTAATGAGCTGTGGAAATCCACCCCTCTCACACACACACAATCAAAGCAAACAATTATGTGTATTAGGGTCACAACGTCCGCAGGCTTCTTTCCACAGTCCACATCGAAGGCTTACAAAGTACCCAAGGCGCTTTAACATGATTAATGGCTGATACTTGGAAAATGGGAACTCCTTTCAGTCTCTCACGGTGGCAGACCATATAAAAAGTACTGTATCCTAAAAGTAATCTGGAGGGAATTTCTCTGAATGGCAGGTCTCTTTTTTTTACTGTTGTTCACACTGCTGGCAGTTCAGCATCATGTCCGAGTAGATGGCACAGCTTTTGCTGCAGCGAGTGAGGCATCTTGCAAGCTCCCATCATTCTGGCAAAGATCTCACATATAGAGGGGATTGCATTTCCTGTGAGCTTCACCATTACATGGGATGAAAGGACAGTGATGCAAACATACAAATGGGAAAGGAAGGGAGTGGCATTCCATGACGGGAGGAGAGAAAGGTTCGTGCGGAGTGGAAGGCCTTAAGGCCTGAAAGGGACAGGCCCTAAAGGCGGCAAAATAAAATAAAATAAAATGTGGGAACCAGGCTCGCTATTTAGTTCTTGAGGAAGCTCAGCATCTATATGACAACTCAGGAATTCTGACATAGTACATTTATGTCCTCTCTCTCCTTTATAACCTTCTGATTCGGAAGCTTGCCTCAGGGTTTTCACATGCATCGAGAGCACAAAGAGAATGTATGAGAAGTTAGACTTTCCAATTCAGATGCTGATACCTTAAAAAAAAGATGCATGTTTCTCTTAAGGAGTCTTCTCCTCAATGCAAAGTCATGAGAATGAGCAGCAAATGTTATGCAGTGTTTGTCCAATATAATCTGAGGGCTGCACTAAAAGAACCAGGGAGGGATGTGGCGGAGCAGGAAGACGCTCATTACAGTAAATGGAAACTCTTCAAAGCCAATGTACCTTAAAACAAATTATCTTCACTACAGTAGAAAGAGATCAAGAATTTCGGAGACTTCTCTATCCCACATTTTAGAGGCCCAATCTGGTGAGGGTGACTGGATGCAGGTGTGTCACTTAAAATAAGATACAAGGAATAATTTCATCTGCTCAAGCCATTTTTGTCATCATATCTTTCAGAGGAAAAGCTACAAGCTGGCTGAATTTTCCATTTCTATATGGAGCCTTTACAGGATAAGAGTCCTGTCAGAGTGAAAAGCTACCAACCCTAAGTCAGCCTCCTCTACTCCATTCCCCAAAAATATCCTCCTCCACCCAGTCACTGCCTTTGCTTGCATGTAGACCCAGTTAGGTTAGCTCTGTGCATCAAAGATATTATGTTTCTGTGAAGTACAGGCATCTCACTTCTGCCTGAATTTCTTCCTTCCCTCCTGCCTCAAGCTAAACCATGTATCCCAAAGCTGACCCTTTTAAAGATTTGAAATGTTGATTTTGAAAATGGCAGGTTCAGACAACTCCTCGTCAAGTTTTCTATTCAGAAGACAGATACTATGGAAAAGAAGAGCATATGCAACACTACAGGAACTCAAGTTGTTGAATGTGCACATTTGTCTGTGGGAATTCTAGGTTTTTACCTGGAGAACAATCACATCCATATTGGATGCAGGAGAGCTGATGAAGCCAGCAATTAAGGGCTAATCTTTTTTCTCAACACTTGTTCCGCTGATCTGTCCTAAATCAGAGCCTAAATGAAAAACCCATCCCTCCACCAAATATCAGGTGCCTTGCTCTCCTCTAATATATCCACTAGCCTTCATATGAAAAGTTGCAATGCCCATGAATGAATGGGCAAATGCAACAGCAGGGAAGAAACAATCCTTCAATTCTGACAACAGATGATGGACATGAAGGTTCTAAGGAGATATAGGTACTCATGTGAGTGCACATGTAGACATAGACACACACACCTCTTTCATCACTGCTGGAAAGGGCCTTCTGTTCTCTACTTCTGAATAAAAGACTGAAATAACTGAGGTGTACATGAATTATGGATCCCGGTCTCTGTTTCCAGCCTACTTCAATAGAATAGAAGATCATAATGAAATCCAGGAAATGTCAGCCACAACAGAAGCTTGTCTAGAATATCACTTCCAGTTTAGTCGGCAGAGACACTTATTTCACAGCCCTTGCTGCCCACAGGAAGGAGAAATTAGAGGGAACACGACAGAATGGAGATAGCAGCATGATCAGGAAAGATGTCAGCTTAGTGCTTCACTGAAGTCCAGGCGGATTTGACCGATAGCTGGTTTCTTTTCCCCTAGTTGTCATCTCTTCCAAGATATGATGGGCATATGTCTGGGAAGCTGAACCTCCAAAATGCACAGGAAGCCAGTGGACCATACAGCTCTTGAGTAAAAATAATCTTGACACAGTAGTGGCCAGAAAACACTCTGGGAGAGCCTACTGCACTTGGGCCATATCACTGCATATGCAGGATGACAGTGTGGCACTTCTACTCTGTCATGGAAGGCGTTATGAGTTCACAGCAGTCGGCATAATGCGGTCATGCCCAGGGAAGGAGCAAGAGTACATAAGACAAAAATTAGTTAAGCACTTAGCAGATTCTGGAAGCATGTTTATAAAGGAATTTGGCACATCCTAATGCAGAAATGGCTCTAGTTCCAGTAGCCCTGTTAGCCTTCATCTCCAGTGCAAATCACTTTGATGCTTCTCTCATTTGTAGCAATTTGGACCATATGCTATCTTGTCTTAAGCCTGCCAGGTAATCGTCTTCTTCAGTCCTTTAATTTCTTGCCCTCCCGAAGACACCGCAAAAGGTTTTTGTCCTTGAGGTCAGCTGCAAGATATGACTCCAAACACGGGTAGGAAGAAAAGACACCCCAGTTCTTTGGACCTTGCTTTTTTTTTTTTGAGCACGCTCAAAAGGCAACATCAGGAAAAGAAGTTCTGTGAACTTAAGACTTTGCGGTGACCTCCATAACCCGTTTGCGCAGGTGGAACACAAACTCTGTCATGGTGGCACCCAAACTTTGGTTGATGAGGTATCGGGGAAGTCGGCCCTACAAGAAAAAACAGTGAACAGAAAATCAAGTTAATGTTTCTGTCTCTCTCTCTGAGATGCGCTGGTCCATTAACTCATGGACTGCATATCTGAGAGGCAGTGATTTTTTCCAGGCACAGCTTAGAACTTAAATTCTTGGGCTACATTTTTCATAGAACATATTACTCAGCAAGATTTCCAGCTATGCTGGCTATGGGATTCTAGGAACTGTCATCCAAAAAAGCAGCTTTTCCAAGCTTTAATCTTAACCCCTTCCATTGTAAGTTAGACGAGTAGTCCTACATTGCTAGTTGGAGCAGGTGGGTTGGACAAAGACTGCTGACAGGACCTTGCTTGATATTTTACAGTTCCACGGCCTGATATTCAGCCAAAGAGCTGGAAGCAAGACCAAATTTGCACAGCTTATATTTTTTAAAAAAATCAAACACTTGAAGTTTTTTCGTCAGTTATCTGGATTCTTCTATAAATACTGCCTTCATGTTTTAACACACTGCTGGGAGGCCCGGAAAGAAAAGTAATTTGTTACTGTAGTTTCTTTTACAAAGTATACATGAATGTATTTGTATGAAAATACAAATTTCTGGACAGTGTAAAGTTGCCCAGAAAGGTTCCTGTAAGGTATTTTATTTGTCAGGGCAATTTGCATCCCTCAAACTGGGCACACTCAAAAGCAAATAGTTTCTTGTGTTTGACTCTGGCTTCTGAAAAAGAAAGAACTCTTTCAGACTTGTTCTGTGAAACCAAGAAAATGTCTTTTTCCTCCTCTTTTGGGAAGAACAGAAACATTTTGCCCTAACAGTCTGCCAGGCACTTGTGTGCTATGGGAGGGCATTCTTCTGCCTGACAAAAAGCCACCACACTTGCTGCTGAACCTCAATCTTCAGGAGGGTGCCAGAAAGGCAGGCTCCTTAGAAGCTGCTTTTATTTGTCTGTAGCACTTCTGCTGCCCTTCTGTTGGGGAGTTACATTCTAACCAGCCAAGTCCTTTGAGAAGCCAGGACAAAAAGAGAGCAGGACAGAAATGAGTGAAGTCTGTTTCCAACCAAAATGTCAGTCCTTTACCTTCAGGTCTGTATTCAGGATCCAGAACAAGGTGCAGAGGTTCGGATTACTGGGACATTTCAGCGCCACAAAACCACCAGGACCATTCTCCGCTCTGGGAAAAGTGAAAAGCAGAGGGGAAAAGTGTCACAACAGAGACAGCAGGTGAGGGGAAGTGGTTTACACTGGGCTAAAGGCAATGTGGTTATTAACCGGAAAATCTTAGCTGCTTAAGGAAGCATACATTGAGAGACAGCAGGTGAGGGGAAGTGGTTTACTGTGGGCTAAGGGAAATGTGGTTTCTTAGCTGCTTAAGCAAGCATACATTAAAATCATGAAAACATCACATATACAAACTATTCCCTGCCTCTTCCATCTAAGCATTTGAAAACTGTTCCAACGATACAGGTTCAAAGGTCCTCTCTCCCCACAGGATCTGAAACCAAGAGACACAACTGGTGGGTCTCCCTAAGTACTCCATAAATGGGGTGTCATTCCAAAGAGGACAACACACAAAGCAGGGTTTTATGCGCAGATCAGTTTAAGCACAAGAAAAGGATTCTCACAAATGTACTGTAAAGCTTGGAAAAACATTCTTATCTGCAATCCTCTGAGTAAGCACAACAGAGAGGAGGCACTGCCTAACATTGCCCACCACTTTTATCATAACACCTACTGTAACTCTGGTCACCATCAGGCCCTGCCTGAAACTCCTCTCCAAGAAGAGCTGGAGACCATAAAGATGCTCACCAAAAGCTGGAAGAGAACATGATGAATCCTTTCCAAGAAGCAATGTGGAAGGAAGAGAAACAAAAGAACCAATGGCAGGTCTGCCCACCCTTCGTTTTGTTCTCTTGATGCTGAACAAAGCCTATTCTCAAAAACTGCTCAAGTATTTCAAATGTTAGCTATTGCATTTCCCCCAAACAGAAAGGCATGAGGAACTGTACTGCATAATGTACTCTGACATGTGAAAAGGACACTGCCCTCTTCATAAATTGTCTCACAAGCTACTCAGACATTGAGCTAAAGGCCAATGACTTTTTAATGATATTACTCAGTAAAAATGAGCATAGGGAGCAAAGCCACCCTGGCTGGTCACCTGAGGCAGAGGCTCCACTAACAACAAAGAGGCCTTGTTGGGTGATGCTCAGACAGGGTTTTTGTTCATCACAAGACAGCAGCTGGGAGCCAAAGATTGAACAAATGCTTGGGAAGTGCAGCTGAAGAAAGATCACATTGAAAAGCCACAGTGCAGATACACTGACACTTATTTTATTTAAAACATTTATAGCCCACCTTTCTCTTAAAAAAATCCTAAGGTGGCTTACATCATTAAAAAGAGACAATATTAAAAGCTAAAAAAAATTATTACAATATTAACAAATTAAACAAATATATTAAAATGTTTTTTAAACAGCACACTGAAAACACATTTAAAAGCAAGGAGGCACAACAATCTTATTTTAAAAAGCCCTCTGACAGCCAGTCCCTATGGGACAGCCTGCTTAGCCTCAAGGCTTATTGACTGCTTGTCCTGTCAGAATGAGGGCAAGCACATATATGTTTGCACACATGAACACGTATTGATGGGTCACTGACTAGCATTTTGAAACAAGCCAAACTGGGGGCATTCAATTTATTGTGCAATGAATAGGTTCTGAACACTGACACACAATATAAAAGAACATCAACTTTCAAATCAACCACTTCAAGGTTGTAGAGAACTCAAGATCTGGCCTCTTGCCCACAGTCTAATAATATTCTCTTGAGCAATTTCAGCTTGACACACATATGGGCCATGACATGCACATAGAAAGCTATTCTGGGTAGCCACCTCATGATCTTGAAAAACTTTTCTTCCCATGGAGGATCACCAAAATATAAGCCTGGTCTTTCTCAAAAGTACAGCGAGGTTTTCACAATACCAGACTACAGCTGAGGTACACCCTTTAAGCATTTGAGAGGAAGGATTTATTTCAAAGTTTTCAAGGTAAACCATTTGCAATCTGAATGTACACAAGATAAATCACTGTGAAACAGGAGGAAGCAACTTTCCTCTAACTAGGAGCCTCCACTATTGCTAGCTTGGGGAATACAGCAGAGTCCAACAGACCTGAAGAGCAGCAGGAGGCAAAACCAGATTTAACATCTGAGGTAGCCTACTGTCAACCAAGTGTTAATAGCCAATAGTTTCTTTAGCTTTATAGACATGCTATATTTTAAGTAATATGAGAATAAAGCAGGCTAGAGCCCCATTCAGCCATTGAATGTATGGGTCAGCTAAACATACTAGGAAAAAGAGCTAGCCAGCCTACCCCTCCATCACCATTTTCCTCACAGGAACTGACAGATCTGATGAGGGAAGTCTAGTTAATACCCACAAAGGCTCTCCGCATGAGAGGCAGAACAATGAAACCAAGATTCTAGCTTGCATGGGGAACTCTGACAGATCAATGAGTCTCCTCTCACGAGCAAAGCAATAACTGAGGACACTCTTCATACATTTAGTCCATCTAGTTCCTGAACGAATGAATAGGATTAGATCAGCCTAATGTGGCTCTTGTATAGGCACTTATCATGTTCGTTGCTCACAAATGTTGCACCCGTGTCACATGATGTTAAAAGGGAAGCAGGATTGCTTCCACTTTATCTCCCCGCAGATAGCCCAAGTTCATTACTGGAACTAAGGCAGGCAAGGAGGTAAATGCCTGAAACAATGGCATGTGGGAAGGTAAAATGAGGATACAGAAGCGTTCACATGAAGCTTTTGTTAGGATCTGACCCCATCACATCTTTTCTTATATGGGAACAGGGCAGATACAAACCTAAAACACAGCATCCCCATAATAGCTAGCTTGGCCTTTATATATTATACAATACCAGAACAAAAGTTAACTAAACATGAACCACTGAAAGAATTCAAATTGAGAGGATTTTACTGGAAACAGAGGGGGCTGCCCCTTCTCACAAGCAGAAGCCACTGCCTTAATAATTCTAAGTGTTTTCATTTCACACAATTGTTGGAGCACATGTTTATGAATTTCATACATGCTTCCTTCCCATTATTGGAAGCTGACACGTCTGATGCAGGGTGTAGAATGCTACAGGTATTTTAGTCTGGCCAAGATGGATTGTCACTGGGAATCATTAACCAAAGCAATTTTCCAATTATGCAGTGCCTATAACCATTCTACATCAAGGCAGCCACAATCAGACATTTACATTGGATGGCTGACAGTTCAGACTACAGTCATTTTCCTTCTTGCCTTTTTTGGTTTGTGGGTGTCCCTGTTCAATTGTTGCCATTGGCTTTTAATTCATTGTCATGTCTGTTATTTGCACCCGGCATTCTAATGCAAAGATGCCCATAGTGATGGCTTGCATTGTTAAAAAAAAAGTACAGACATACCGGACATATCTGGAAATAGGAGGTCGTGAATTGTGGGTTGTTGCCATCCCTGATGAAATGTATCGGTCTCTTCTTCTCTCAATCCGGCGCACATTTACAAAATCCCTGTCAGTGGCAATAAGAAGTTAAACACTTATTCAAAAAGAATATATATATATATATACACACACATACACACACACGTATGTATGTATGTATGTATGTATGTATGTATGTATGTATGTATGTATGTATGTATGTATGTATGTATACACACATACACACATACACACACACACACACACACACACACACACACATAAATGTTTGGATTTAAACCAAATCAGGACTCACCTGGGTGACACCACGCCGCCTGCGGCTCCAGCTGCCACATCATAGGATATTAATGTGTTATCATCCACACGTTGCAAGATCTGTTAAAAAACAACAACACAATCCCTGCTGACACAAAGCCATCTAAATTACTTTCTGGTATAGGTTTCTCCTCCATTCAAGGCAAGACAGGGATAACCTGAGAAATTACCTATGCTGCAGGCATTCAAGAAATAGGCAAACTATGGAAGAACTGGCCTCTGGAGGGAGGAGAAATATTAGGTTGTCACCAGAGGTCATAAATGCCAGAGATTACTTTAAGGAGTAAGATATTAGTAACTGGCAGTTGCCAAAAGCATTAGTTTCAAAATGCTTACCTGACATGCTAACAAGGTTTTATTCCAGAGGGCCATCTTATCTGGCTGGAGAATCATCTCCTGATAGATTATCTCAGGAGGACACTGGAGAACAGCCTGCAAGCAAAAGACAAGTTTTTTCACCTTGGCCAAAGCTCTCTCTGAGGTTCATTTGTAGCAGTGTTCCTTCAACTTGGCCCCTTCCAGGAGGGCTGGACTGCAACTCCCACAATTCCTAGCTACCTAAACAGGGATGATGAGAGCTGCAGCTTAATGCACCTAGACAATTGTGGGTAGAACAAGGTTAATTTTCAGCCTCATTTGAAAACTGAGCAGCCAAGTTCTCAAAGTCTTGTAATTTTTATGATTTTATACATGCCATATTGTCTTGTTTTTATCTATGTAAGCCGCCCCGAGTAGGCATTATCTAACAAACAAACAAACAAACAAATAAGTCAGGACAAAAACAACCAATGTTGATGGTGAATTTTGAGTGGGAATCAATCAATCAATCAATCAAGAAAGAAAGGACAAAAACAACCAATGTTGATGATGAATTTTGAGTGGTTAGTTTTGGGAAGGATATGTGACAAACCCAGACCTACTGGGATATGTCACACAGTTACACTAAGCTGCCACCAACCATTCCCTGTAAGAAGTCACACAGACCAGGGATGGATTTTTAAAACAATAAAAGAATAAGGTTTATTTTAAATACACACAGGGAAATAAAACAATCAGGTGAATAGGATAAAGTAACGTGGCTTATTCTCACTCATACAAGCAGACAGTTTGGTTCACCCAGAACCTTAACTTAAAGCACAGACCCTGAACCTATCAGTTCTGGCTAACC